AAATTAAGGGGAAATGTGTGTGCATCTTATGAAGCGAATGCAGGCTCCTTGGCTTCAGCGATAGCAACGCGAAGCCTCCAGAGCACAGCGGGAGCTCCTGCCACGCTCCGGAGGCTTTGGGTTGCCTTCTGCTGAAGCCTGGAGAGCAAGAGGGGTCGGTGTGCACTGAGCCCTCTCGCTCTCCAGGCTTCAAAGATAGCCGCCTGAAGCCTCCGGAGTGCAGCGGGAGCTCCCTCCGCTCCGGAGGCTTTGGGTTCCTTCACTGAAGGGTAGGTGCCCCTTCAGCTAAGGCGCAGCACCCCTTCAGCTAAGCGGGAGGAGAAATGGAAGGGGCTCCGTTTCTCCTGCCGCTTCGCTGAAGGGGTGCTGCGCAGAGAGGGGGAGAATTTTTTTTCTTGTTCTCCCCCTCTAAAACAGGGTGTGTCCTATGGTCTGGTGCATCCTATAGAGCGAAAAATACGGTAACTTCACTGATGATGTGTGATTTATTACTGACCTGCTCCTGACACCCGCTCCTGACAGTATCAGAGACCAAGGACACATTTCAGCCGGGAAGAAACACTTGGAGCGCAAAGCAAAACCAGTGAAGGGCGTGGTCTGTGGAAAGGAGGTGTGGCCTGGGAAAAATTCTGTGGGTAAGATAATGGAATCTGGAGGGCAGCATTCTACCCCCACTTAACAGGTTGGTGAAAGTTGAGCTAATTTAGATCTTGCTCATTGCCTTCAATCATGAACCTTCCTTCTCCCTATTAGCATAATCTGCCAAGTATTATGGAGCATGGAATAACTTTTCCAGACATAAAACTACCACGGTTCATTGTTGCATGGTGATCTGTGGCTGTATTCATCTTTCGCCTTCAGCAGAAAGTCAAGCTGGAGTTCTCACGCATGACTCATGCTTACTTAAGGTATGCCCTCCATATGTCTCAGAAGAAACATTTGCTTGGGGAACGGCACTACCTGGTGCTTGAAAGGGAGCCCTTCTTCTTCCTGCCATTAGCACTGTGAACTATTTATGCCACAAAGCAAAAAAAAAAAAAAGACAGAAAAGTTTAAGCTTTGCAGCTTTGAAGTTGAAACCTCAAGCAGATGTCAGCTTGCTGACCCAACACCCCACCTAATGCTTTATTTTGGCTTCCTGCTTATCCTGTCGCCTGTTTTTCTCATTAAAGAGCCTCTCTGGTGAACCACAGAATCCAAACGCAGACAATCTGCAACATGAGGGTCATCATCCTTTAACAAATTGATCCTTGATGATCTCTGGCTCATTCGTAGAGCAGAGAAACGTGGGAAAGACACCATTTTGGAAGGTTAGGAATATGTGAGGCTCATACCATCCAACATTTTCTTACCTGAAATCGTGACACGTGATGCTCCCGGGTGAGTCATGTGACCCGCGCCACACTCTTACCCCAAAAAAGTGAGGTGAGAGGATCGCAGGGTGAAAGAGTGGGGCAAGAGCACGGCGCTGGCACTCTGGGTTCATCATAGCGCCGTATCAGAGTGCTGGACCTTCGACACTCTGCCATGACTCTTCTCATGAGTGCCAGAGCGGGAGTCTTTTGGTCCAGTGCTCTGGTGCAAGGACTTGCATCAGAGCACTGGACCAAAAAAACAGGACACCTGGAAATCAAACAGAAGCTGGGCTCTGTGATTCCAGGCTATCCCGCTTAAAATGGGGCAGTTGATGGGTATGTGTTTGTTCCTCAGAAGCAGTGTTTCCCAAACTTGGTTCTACATCTGTTTTTGGACTACAGTTTCCATAATCTCTGACCACTGGTCATGTTAGCTAGGTATGATGGGAGTTGTGGTCCAAAAACAGCTGGAGACCCAAGTCTGGGAAACACTGCTGAGAAGCATCTATAGCTAGCTCATTGGTTTTCTATAAGACCATAAGAGGAGCCCTGCTGGACCATGCAAAGACTCATCTCGTCCAGCATTCTGTTCTCACAGCAACCAACCAGATGCCTCTTCTGGGAAGCCCACAAGGTGGACATGAGTTCAACAGCACTTTCCCCACCTGTGATTCTCAGCAACTGGTATTTTATTCATTGAAGGACTTGCCGCAGTTGGAAACTTCAGCCATTTCAAGGGCTGGTGATGAAACACAGAGGCAGTTCGCTGGAACATCAAACTCTGTCATTGCTTCTGTTTTACTGGCTAGTGATTCATTTCTGGGCTTGATTAAAGGTGTTGCTGGTTCTTACCTTGAAAGTCTTCTGTGGTTTGGGACGGAGAGGCACATCACCAAAAGCGCAACACAAGGACACAGATTTGTAAAAAATCTGAATATGCTAATTTATTGGTAGAGAGTGATATCTAGGTATGGAAGAATCTGGTGATTTTAGTTCATCCCATTTCTCCTCCTTCCAATTTTCAGTTCAGTTCTCACATTTCCTCAGCAATTTTCATTTTTTGGGGAAAAAATCCTCGTGAACTCTTCAGCATTTTTGTGCAAATTTCTCCTGATAAGTACAATTTTGTGTGAAGTTTGTAATAACTCACATATTTTTGTGAGCATTTTCTCATAATATAGTGCATTTTTGTATGCTATTGTCACGGATGTATCCATATTTAAGTACCTAATATATGTGCTTTTGTCAATATTGGTTAGTTGAAGAATTGTAATCGCAAAATTCCGATAACTCTGAATTTCAAAGGACGGCTGTGGTTCATTTCTCACATTGTGCTCTCCATGTTGTCAAGTAATCCCGAGTAAGAGCACAGAAAAATGCAGCCTTCACATCTCCTCTCTGGAATAATAATATTAATAAAGCCCCTGTTGATTAAGAATCTCACTTTCAGAGATCAAGCGCGTCCACTGTTAAAATACGGCCATCAAAGTCTGAGAATTCACATATTGCTTATTTTGGAGGGCTTTGGTGTAATTGCAGAAATTTTCAGGAAACCCTACTCCGCTTTGCTATTTTTAAACTTCAGGAATGCAATAAAAGCTGCTCGCCACTTAATGGAAATAAATGATTATTGATTTTCTCACAGTTACTATGAGCCAAGTAAAACAAGCCTTAAATCAGGACTGGGAAAGCGGGACAGTATGGCAACAAAGATCCAAAGATACATAACAGTCTGGATAATGGTTTAACAACAAAGAACTAGCATATGATTGACTAGTACATTAGACCCACAGCTAGATCAAAATAAATAGTGGAAGGGTTCACTGCAGCAAACTATCTAGACTGCTATTATACCGCTGCATGGATACCACAAAGCAACCGCAAAAATTGTTTGCTGTCATTCTCTTTTCCCATAATGGCAACATTATTGGATCCATCAAGGGCAGGGTTCTCCCCCCTCCCCCCCCCCCAATTAGATTGCCATGCTGGAATACAGGATTACAAAAAAACCTGGTTGGTATCCAACTGAGTCCCCATCTGCACTATACATTTGAAGCAGTATCATACTGCTTCAAACAGTCATGGCTTCCCCCCAAGAATCCTGGGAACTGTAGTTTGTTAAGAGTTATTAGGAGACATCCGCTACACCATTCCCCTCACAGAACTACAACACCCAGAGCTCCCTGGGAAGGAAGATTGACTGTTTAACCACACTGGGAATTGTATCTCTGTGAGCCAAATAGGGGTCTCCTAACGACTCTCAGCATCCTTAACAAACAACATCTCCCAGAATTCTTTGGGGGAAGCCATGTGACTGCTTGCGAGGGACGCGGGCGGCACTGTGGGTTAAACCACAGAGCCTAGGACTTGCTAATCAGAAGGTTGGCAGTTCGAATCCCCGCAACGGGGTGAGCTCCCGTTGCTCGGTCCCTGCTCCTGCCAACCTAGCAGTTCAAAAGCATGTCAAAGTGCAAGTAGATAAATAGGTACCACTCTGGTGGGAAGGTAAACAGCGTTTCCGTGCGCTGCTCTTGTTCGCCAGAAGCAGCTTAGTCATGCTGGCCACATGACCCGGAAGCTGTACGCCGGCTCCCTCGGCCAATAAAGCGAGATGAGTGCTGCAACCCCAGAGTCAGTCACAACTGGACCTAATGGTCAGGGGTCCTTTACCTTTATGTGACTGCTTATAAAGTGATGTGATTCTGCTTTAAATGTATGGTGTAGCTGAGGCCTAAACCACACACCAGTTTGAGTCCATTGAATTCAATGGATCTAGAATTTCCCCCCCCCCCTTTTCTCATGGTGATCACACACACACGCACACACACACACACACACACACACACACAAATAATGAGTGGTATCCAATGTTCTTCATACTCAGAATAGACTCATGGGAATCACTGGGTGTAAGCAACTTACTGATCTCAGTGAGTCTTCTCTATGACTAATATTGAATATCATCCCTTATCTGTATATTAATATTACTATTATTATTATTTACACAAAACATATTGATAACCAGGCAAAAAAGGAAATTAAAGGGCAAGGAAGGAGAGTAAGTTTTTGAAAAAAACATTTTCAAAAAGACTGCTTAATACAGTTTAGAACAGGAAGAACAAAAATAAATGGCTTGAATTCTGTACATGCTTTCTGAGGAGTAAGCCCTGTGGACTATACAAGAACCTGGTATTCAGAAGCAGACTACCTCTGAATATGGAGGTTTCACATAGTCACCATAACTAATAGCTGTCAATCGTTCTATCCTCCTCCATAGCTCTAGCCCTCAGCTCCAGCTTGCTGCTTTTAACAGAGTGCCACTATTTTCCTCCTGCCTACGCCATCCCCATCTGCTCAACCCTGCTTCATCTCCGCTAACTATCTCTGTTGAAGGAGGGGCTCATACCCACCTGCTGACCAACACAGAGTACTTGCTTTGTTAATCTCCCATTACCTTCCTTTTGTTCTTCCTAATGGCTCTTTCCCCAGGCGATTTCCTGAACATGGGAACCTGAGCCCAACAATTAAGTGTCTGACTTACATTCTACCACTTACTTCAATTCTAACACTTACTAAATTCAGGAATTTAGGGAAACCTGGCACCTACAATTCATAACAATCCATTTCCTTGTCATGCAGAAGACCCCAGATTCTGACATCTCAAGGTAAGGCTGGGAAAATCTGAAACCCAGGGGAGTGCCTGTCACTCCATGTGGAAAATACCGTGGTAGATGGATGAACAGTCTGTCTCAGCGCAAGGCAACTTCTTTTGTTTTGAGTATCTTTCTCCAGAATGGTTCAACATGAGCACGACAGGTTGGATTTCTTTATTTCTTTAAAGTGAGAGAACACAGGTAAAAACATCCCAAAACACTGGTTTTTTTAAAAAAAAGAAAAGGAACAATAGTGTCTCAAACAATACACTTACATGTTGTATTTCTGTTTCTTCCTTGGAACTGAATCTCTCCTGCCATTCTAATAAGAAGCAGAATGATAATAAATTACACACACACACACACCACTTGCCAGATGAAAAGGATCCAAGCTCAAGTCACACTCCCAATTTTTTTTTTTTTTAAGTCATAAAAGCGCTGCATTGTTTGAAGTCGGAGACCCAGCAAGGAACGAGCTGCTTTCATATGCGATCGTTAGCCTCCTTCCTTTTCCCTTTCCAGTTGCCCTTCGGGGCGCTCCCTTTATAAAAGTGACAGGATGGGTTAGATCGGCAGCAACTTCTGATTAGCACATGGCAAGCTCTGCTTCTCATTAAGAGGGATCACTTTGCCGTGAGCCCTTGTCGTCCCAGGTATTTCCAGGCATTTGTTTCATGAGGCTCATCTGGCAGAGAGATCCCGGTGTCCAGCTTTCCTTTCTGTTTTATGATTGCAAGGTTTCACACACACACACACACACACACACACACACACACACACACGTACGTTGGTCCTTCTGGACCTTGGTGAAATAGGGATCCTTCAAAGTAATATTGGCCCAGCCATGAGACTGGGGTGCTGAATTTTAGGCCCCATTTAAAGCACCATCACACCACTTTAGGCAGCCTCCCTCCAAACAATCCTAGGAACTGTGCGGTTTTTAAAAGGTTCTAAGTAGTGATGTATGGAAGTGAGAGCTGGACCATAAATAAGACTGATCACCAAAGAATTGATGCTTTTGAATTCTGGTGCTGGAGGAGACTCTTGAGAGTCCCATGGACTGCAAGAAGATCAAACCTATCCATTCTGAAGGAAATCAGCCCTGAGTGCTCACTGGATGGACAGATCCTGAAGCTGAGGCTCCAATATTTTGGCCACCTCATGAGAAGAGAAGACTCCCTGGAAAAGACCCTGATGTTGGGAAAGATGGAGGGCACAAGGAGAAGGGGACGACGGAGGACGAGATGGTTGGACAGTGTTCTCGAAGCTACCAGCGTGAGTTTGACCAAACTGCGGGAGGCAGTGGAAGACAGGAGTGCCTGGCGTGCTCTGGTCCATGGGGTCACGAAGAGTCGGACACGACTAAATGACTAAACAACAACAACAAAGCTTGTATGAAAGCTTATGTATGGGCTGTAGTTCAGGAAGCCATGCCCCCTAAGAGGAACTGGCCAGTGTTAAAGGGCCCTTGCCTTATTCTATTGTCTGCTGTGAGCCTGGAGAGACCAGGGCACCTTGGAAGATTCTTCCTCTGAAATGGAAGAAGGCAAAGCTGTACCTTCCAATCGGGAGGGTCCTGAAGATGGTCCTAGCGGTTATTTCCCTAAATCAGGGCCAGAGCCTAATTCTCCTCGGAGCCTCTCACTTAGCATATGGTATATGGGTTGTGGTTCATGACTAGGGATGTAAAAAAAGGATTCATCAACAACAACAACAAAGAGTTGCTAGGAGACCCCTGTCCGCCTCACAGACCTACAGTTCCCCAAGTGGTTTAACAACCAAACCCTCTTCCTAGGGAACTTGGGGAATTATAGCTCTGAGGGGAATAGGGGTCCCCTAACGACTCGCAGTTCCCAGGATTATTTGGGGGAATCCACGACTGCTTAAAGTGGCATAATACTGCTTTAAATGTATAGTGCAGATGCAGCCTTGGTGTGGAAGAGCGAAAGGGATTATTTACAAACCACACAGGACTTGATGCTTCTTGTATGAATGTAGCAACATGAATGTGGAGCAGTTGCCCTATGGCCAAAAGAAACCCACCTCTTCCCTGACATAAATGCATAAAAATGATGGCATACAATACGAAATAATGTTATTATTATTTCCATAATTTATTTATTATGACATCCTCTCACACCCTCTTACACAATTTGAAAAGGATTGCGCACAAATTCAAGCTTATCTTGAAATTTTCAAAAATTCATCTCAGTCAGCGTAGGTCATTTGTTCTTTATTGTATGATTTTATATTTTTTGATGTGTTAATGATTTTATTATGATTATTATTTTTATGAGTTGATGGGTGATGATGTAAATAACAGTATCATCAACTTAAATGGCTAAAAAAAAACTTTGCAAAAAAATAATCAGATACTGAATTCTGGCTATACTTTTGCACAGTATAATCATAAATACACCAAGTAATTTCAGCTACAAGGAATCCAAATTTTCCTTCCTGGAAGATCCAAATGTAAGAACCTTGTTCAATTCGCATTAGAGTGGTACCTCGGGTTACATACGCTTCAGGTTACAGATTCCGCTAACCCAGAAATACTACCTCGGGTTAAGAATTTTGCTTCAGGATGAGAACAGAAATTGTGCTCCGGCGGCACGGCAGCAGCAGGAGGCCCCATTAGCTAAAGTGGTGCTTCAGGTTAAGTACAGTTTCAGGTTAAGAACGGACCTCTGGAACAAATTAAGTACTTAACCCGAGGTACCACTGTATAGCCAATTACATATATATTATAAATATGCATCTCTCTCTCTCTCTCTCTCTCTCTCTCTCTCTCACACACACACACACACACACACACACACACACACATCAATGGACTGGACTTCCAAGTAATTCAGCTGGTCTGAACTTGGAGATGGGGACCTTTTCTTTTTCCCACTTCACAAAGCCCCAAAAATAGCACATGAGAAAGATTACAGCCATCTTACTACACAAACAAATGCTTTTGCCAGCAGTTTGACAAGCTTGGCAGCAGCACTAACAAGAAACACTGAATAAAACAGAAACTGAAAAGGGGAAAAGGAGGGGTGGGTGGGAGAGACGCTGATGGAAGTTTGATGGAGCAACACCAGGTTTATTCACTTAAAATACCCCAGCCATTAGGTAATATAGCTCAGAAACACTTGCTCATTCAGTAAATACATGCCTGTTTGCAAAATAAAGAAATAAATTAAAGAAAGGCAGGGAAAGTGTTCCACAGTTCACCACACTTCATTGTTTCCCTCGTTTTCTTCTGGATTTAACTTCCAGGTGCGTATCACTTTTATGCTTGAAAAGGTAAGATGGAAATTTTCTCAGTTACCAAAAATGAGGAGTAGGAAACCTCTAGGACACCCAGCAAATTTGATGGCAAATTCTTCTGGTCACACCTGCTATACATTTAAAGTACAGGGATTCCCCCAAAGAATCCCAGGAACTGTCATTTACCCACCACAGGGCTACAACTCCCAGTACCCTTAACAAACTACAGTTCCCAAGTTTCTATTTTTTGGGGGGGAGCCATAGGCTTTAAATGGGTGTTGCGGGTGTGCCCTGATGAGTATTAATCTAGTCAGCAAAGCACCTTACTGCACAAGAGGGTGATGCTTGCCGGAAGCCCAAGGGTTGCAGAAGTACCAAAAAATCCTTCAGAACAAAGCCTGGGGGAAGGGGAACTGGGCATGAAGACTAAGAACATATGCTTAGTATGGGAAAGTAGAAAACTGAGGGGTGGGTCTATACACGGGGGGGGGGGGAATGCTATAAATAAGTAAGAAATTAAGTAAAGGTAAAGGGACCCCTGACCATTAGGTCCAGTTGTGACCGACTCTGGGGTTGCGGCGCTCATCTTGCTTTATTGGCTGAGGGAGCCGGCATACAGCTTCCAGGTCATGTGGCCAGCATGACTAAGCCACTTCTGGCAAACCAGAGCAGCGCACAGAAATGCCGTTTACCTTCCTGCCGGAGCGGTACCTATTTATCTACTTGCACTTTGATGTGCTTTCGAACTGCTAGGTTGGCAGGAGCAGGGACCAAGCTCACCCCGTCGAGGGGATTCGAACCACTGACCTTCTGATTGGCAAGTCCTAGGCTCTGTGGTTTAACCCACAGCGCCACCCGTGTCCCTCAAGTCAGAAATTAGTTATAACAAAAAAAAAAAAAAAACCCCTGTGGAAAAACGCATATAAAAATTTCCCTGCTCTCTGGCGCCATCTGGTGTTGCATGTTTATAGCGCATTGAAATCATTTCTTTACTAATCCTTTCCCAAATAATGCTCCTGCAACACCTGCTCTGCACTCTTGTCGAGTGTGTTGCCCCTAAAGGGCCTCTTTGAACTCACTAAAGGGTGCCCTGTGATAATGTTCCTTGCTTGCTAGATGGTGTGTGTGTTTAGAACCATCTGCCTTCAATGGCTGAAATGTAGCCTAAGCTTGCTACAGAAAAGAAAGTGGCTTCTATGGCTCCACCCATTTTTGTCTCTGGCCCCTCCCACCGCTGAGGTGTGGCCCCCAGAAGGTTGCTGATGAGGAAACGTGGCCCTTGGCCTAAAAGGGGTCTCTCCCGCCCCTGGTTCTGGAGAAGGAATTAACCATGCATCAGTCTCCAGAGAGAGAATGTTTGCACAAACTTTAAAACAGAAACAAAATGACATATTGCAGGTTTAATTTAAGAGGAAATAATTCAGAGAATGAAAACCATTTGGTATCCTTAAATAGTTTCTGGAAGGTTGTTCGTGGGGTAGAAAGATGAGGTCTATTTCTTGTCGCTAACTTTGGATGAATCAAGGGTATATTTAGTGCGGTCATTTGCACATTGTCAAAAAGCGGAAATGCAACTGCAAAAGGGAGAACAGAACAGGACAGAGATTTGCATAATATCTGCCTATGCTTATGTATATGTAGAAACACACATTTAGAAACAACGGCTGTAATTTAAATAGAAATACTCCTCTCCAGAATGGGGAAGACTGACTGTGTTCACACCATATGGTCATACCTTGGTTGTTCAAAGCCCTGGAACTTGTACATTTCGGCTCCTGAAGGATCAGAAACCGGAAGTGAGTGTTCCAGTTTTTGAACGATTTTCGGAAGCCGAACATCCGGCGCGGCTTCCGATTGGCTGCAGCCAATTGGAAGCTGTGTCTTGGTTTTTGAACAGTTCCGGAAGTCGAACGGATTCCCGGAACGCAGTCTGTTCGACAACCAAGGTACGACTGTACATTGAAAACACTTTGATACTACTGTAACAATTATGGCTTCCTCCTAATAATCCTTTGGACTGTGCTTTGTTAAGGGTGCTAAGAGTTGTTAAGAGACCCCAAATCAATCCCTTTTCCCAGAGAATTCGGGGTGTTGTCATTCTGTTAGAGAAATAGAGGTTTATTTTTAAGACCCTTGCTGCGTTCCAAATGTAGCAATGTGTCCGTGTTCCTTGCTCCCTGACTGAAGAATGCTTGAAATATGTCTGTAAGTGCCTCTGACAACATCATTCATAACCACAGTCTTGGATTGCAGAGCTAATCTTTTAAACAACAGGCAGGGAAAATTCATTCCCCGGATCTTGTGAGACTCCAAATCCCATCTGTCTCCGCCAACATGGCCAATGATAGGGGATGATGGTAGTTGGAGTCCAAGCTTCCATCAACATTCGCAGGACTACAGCTTTCTCACTAAAGTGGTACCTCGGGTTACATACGCTTCAGGTTACATACGCTTCAGGTTACAGACTCTGCTAACCCAGAAATAGTACCTCAGGTTAAGAACTTTGCTTCAGGAAGAGAACAGAAATAGGGCTCCGGCGGCGCGGCGGCAGCAGGAGGCCCCATTAGCTAAAGTGGTCTTCAGGTTAAGAACAGTTTCAGGTTAAGTACGGACCTCAGGAACGAATTAAGTACTTAACCCAAGGTACCACTGTACTGTCTTGGACATCAAGAAGGAAATATAGATAGCTCCAGGTGCACAGATTCTACTATCTGCAGAAGAAAGGGGGGGATATTTTGTGTGAAGTGAGAAAGAAACCCATCCAAAACCAACAGCTTTCTGATTCACCGGACTCCTCTTATCTCCCTGAAAAATGCTTTTCTGGGAGCTTCATGCTGAAATATGAGAGGGACTTGTGTTTGTCTGTGTGCAGCAACCATTCCTGAATTTGAAGCAATTTTTAAGGAGACGGATTTTGATAAGCTGGGCCTCCCAGCTTTGACTGGATGCTTATCAGCTATCTGTTTGCTTGAATTGGATATTAAATCTAGAAAGTGATGCTGCTGAAGAACAGAGAGCTACTGAAATGTTGTATTAATATTAATGGTTGCTGTAAACAAGTCGGAGAATCCATTGCCTCTCCTTGGCCGCCACAAGCCTCCTCTTTTGGACTGCTTGCAGTGGCTACTGGAGAGAAGGACAGGCTGTGGCCGTCGAATGCCAGCCCCATGTGCCGCGCCAGCTCTGAAGGGCAGTCCACCCTGAGCAGGAAGAAAGGGGGAGTACAGTGGTACCTCGAGTTACAGACGCTTCGTGTTAAGTTGTGGGCGAACATGTCAGACGACACAGCGGTTCTTTAAACAGCTCTTCTTTATTCAGATGCCAGAACAGAACTAGCTGAGGAGCTCAGTCACCCGGCTTATATAGAGCTCCAGAACAATGCAACTGTTGCCATTTTCTAAAACTATCCAATCACTGAACGTCACTTTTCGATCCTTCATTTGCATACAAAACTATCCAATCACTGAATGTCACTTTTCGATCCTTCATTTGCATAACTATCTACAGTATCCCCCTGCTGGCCCACGGTGAGAACTTCAGTACATAACACTTCAGGTTACAGACGCTTCAGGTTACAGATTCCACTAACCCAGAAATAGTACCTCGGGTTAAGAACTTTGCTTCAGGATGAGAACAGAAATCGTGCAGCGGTGGCGCAGCGGCAACAGGAGGCCCCATTAGCTAGAGTGGTGCTTCAGCTTAAGAACAGTTTCAGGTTAAGAACGGACCTCCAGAACGAATTAAGTTCTTAACCCGAGGTACCACTGTAGAGTGGATTTCAAAGAGTTCTGAATTTTTTATTTTTAAAAAATGCTTTGTACTTCCGCGTCTAATCGTGCCCCTTTCTAAAATTCACGATTGGTGAGTGTTTTAGTTTTTGTAAATCTACCAAAGAATAAAATAAAATAAAATCAGGATTGGTAGTGGGGGTTTTTTTAGGGAGGGTGTGTATGCTGCGTCCTGCTGGTGATACTCGTCCTTCTTCTGATAGGAAATGCTGGGGGGACGATGATGACAAAAAATGGGGGAGTCAAGAAGGTTCAGTCGTGGGGGATTGAGAAGTGCAAAACAGTCCCCTTGCCCAACTGGCTGGTTTTATAAAATGTTACGGAAAAATCTAGGTGTGAGGCTGCTCAGTCACCCAACTCATCGGGCAGAGCCCGCGGGTCCCTGTGAACTAAAGGAAGGAGTCCAGCCACCAACCGGAGCAAATAGCCATAGATCAGTTTATTGCGCAACAGGTTCAAAAGAGGAATTTTGAACCCTGAGGGTGGGGTGGACAAAGACTTTTCAAACTTCCCCACCATATCCCAGAATACAGTTTGTACAGCATCATTGCTACATCACTGACATGTCACAAAAGGGGAGGGGTTAACCTTGGCAAACATGTCCAGACAACTCCTTGGTACAAGATTAGCATAAGCAGACATGACAGGGCAAGACTCAGGTATAAGATTAGCATAGACACATATGTCTTAAGTACCCACCACCCAAAAGCGCAATAGAAGTTCCTTTGCATGTCTGGAGCCTGAGGCAAGTCAGGTGATGAGATTTGGCTTGCCTTGGCTAGCAATGAGCCCAGCAATCGTCACCTCTGGGAACTTCCTGGAGTCCTTTTTCAAGGGGCAAATAGCTTTGGAATGGAGGAAACTGGCAAAGTAGTTGATTTTATATTATTTTTAAAGCTAGGTAACTTCCCTGAGCTGTCAGGTTGAAAGGGTACATTCAGGCTTAATATTTGTAACATTTGACTTTAAAGATGTGCCCCCCCCCCGTAATTTCCGTAACATAAAATCACACGCATATCTTCAAGGCACTGTGAGAGAGCTTAAGGTCACTCAGCAGGAGACCCTGGGTTAATGGACCCACTGTAAGGGTGACATTCCACTCCCTCACCCTTTGGACCTCAAAGAATGCCAGTGAGTATGCAGCCTGGAAAAGCCTAGTCACATATCTAGACCAGCAAATTGTGTCCAGCACATTTTCCCTGCTGGTTCAAAGGGTCTTTACCACGAGCACCCACTTGTTAGTGTTCTGATCTTGTATTAAATGTATTTGTTGCTTTGGCTTTTTAATTATCTTATGCATACACCTATTGTTATGTACTGAGTTGAATAGGATCCAAAATGCAGCAGTCTGATTGGTCCTAGAACAATAGGATCCAAAATGCAGCAGTCTGATTGGTCCTAGAACAATGCAGCAGTATGATTGGTTTGCAGGAGCCACCCAATCCGGCTCCAGATGGAAGTGAATCCACAACCTGATTGGCCTACAGGAGAATTCCAGAATTAACTAATCACGTGCAGCCCATTGTGTAAATAATGTATATAAAGCAGATGCTTTGAGGGGACATTCATTCCTCCTCACCACTATGAGCTGAATAAAGAGCATGAAATCCACTCTCGACTCTGAATATATTTCACCTTATTTCAGGACACCCCCCCCAAAAAAGCCAAAAAACACGATTTTCCGATTGACTTGCCTAAGATCGAGGACAAAGCACCACATTTCAGAAATTCCCCTGGGCGTCAATTCTGCCTTGGAAAATCTGGACGTATGGCAGCCCTAATACATCATGGTGGTTCATAAGGTGATTAGTAAATCAATGATGATGATGATGATGTTAAAAAAAATAGTAGCAATAATTTATATCCCTCCCTTCAGTGTAAATATTTAGTGGTTAACAGCAGCCCACTTCTTATTCTTGCTCTGATGCATAACGTAGAAAGACACAGCTGAGGAATTTCCAAAGTGGAGTTTTATGCTGCATGAGGGGTCTACAGTTTAAAGACGATTTGTTTTATTTTATTTTGGGTGGGGTGGGGGGGAAACCTTCCTGAGTGTGCACAAGCCTTTGGACATGTCTTAAAGTAGCACTTTGGGATCTAGCCCAAATAATCTCATTAGTGGGGCTGGTTTCTTTGCAGGAAAAGGTCTCCGTCTCATAAAGACCTGGGGAAAGTACAGGGAAGATTTTGGTCTGGGAATAAGTCCTGATTGTTATTCTTTCCCCTATTAAAAAAAGAAAATAAAAAGACACACACGCACACACCCTTTTCTCATGTCATGTGCATTTAATTTCACTGTATAGGGTAATCCGGTGGGGCTTCAGATTGTGCCAAGAAATATTTTCCCTGCTCCTTTTATTTCCTCAGGTGAATAGTGAAAATTAGAAAGACAGGGGGAAGATGAAAAAGGACAGGCAAGGGATGCAGAGGTCCAAGAAAGTTAAGTAACACCAGTCTAAACAACGTGGTCCCCCTTCTTCCTGGCCCGTGCAAGGAGCAGTGATTATTTATAACAAGGGAAGCATCTGTCTTTGATTAGTATTTTCATGGAGACTGCAGACTGTGGAGAAATTACTATGTGCGAGGGACGACCGCCATCCTGCAGCCTCACATTCCAGCAAACCAAATTCATCATTCTCTCAGTTTGAATGCCCCACTTTGCCCTAAGTGGAGTACATCACAGAGTGCAAAGTTTGTGCCAGGAAATTCATCAATAAATACACGAAGCTGACTTATGCAGAGTCAAGCCCAGAGCTGTCCACAATGGAGCAGCATTGGCTGTCTGGGATTATAAGCGAGAGGGTTGATCAGTTCAAGCTAAAGATTCGGGGAGTTGAAACTGGGACCTTTTGCATGCAGAACCACTGAACATATTGTGATGTTAACATATGAGAGTGCTGGAGGTGAAATAGTTAAACAGGTTACCCAATCAGAACCCCGGGGGGTGGAGTCAGAGGGACTATAAAACCAGCTCTGTGAGGGGCAAAGGGAAGAGTTTGTTGGGAGTTGGGTGGTTGGTTGGAGTGAATTGGGATAGACTCTGTGGGTAGGTTGAGTTAGTGTAGTGAAATAGGCTGAGTCAGGAACAGTTAGGAGCTAGGAAGACAAGTAAATATCAGAGAGGTGGTTTAGTGAGTGAGAGCAGGTAGCGGAAGTTATAGGTCTGGATAGGCAGCCTATGAATGTAATTGACTGATACCGTTTATGAAACCACATGCTTGTTAAACTGCAATAAATAAACTGAAGTTTATGTTCCAATTTAAACCTGACTGGACTCAGTATTGTCCCAGGTAGGGCCTGGGTGGTGGCAGCGAGAAATAAAGTGGTGGCACAGGGATCAACGGACGGTGAAACGTCCGGGGACCCTGTGTGATCGCCACACATATAACCATGGGCTTCTCCAAAGAAATTCTGTTCAGCTTGGGATCTTCTTCATGCATAGTTGGGAGTAGGCCCCAATGAACACAGCAGAGCTTAACTCTGAGTGAATTCGGATAGGATCAGATTGTTAACTGATGAAGCAGGGGAAGCAGTGAGATCATGCAATGGTTTCTCGGCAAGCATGAAAATTCAAAATCTTTTGTGAGGATACTATGAAAGTAAATAAAATTAAAAAAAACTTTTCAATGGAAACAGAGAACAGGGTTGTTGTATTTTTGTATAGGGCTTTAAGAGAGCTGAAGGCATTGTTACCTATAGTACAGAAATTTTTTTTATTAGCATTCATTGTTGCTGCTGCTTTCAATCTGCAAATGAAACACAACATATGTTTTCCCCCTTCCATCTGCCCAGTGTTTCCTGGGCGTGGAACAGCGTAATGACAGAGGAATTTATGTCATTAAATTATGCAAGTTAGGTAGTTTTTGGTCAAAGGCGACCTGCAGCAGCATGGAAACAGCGCTGTATCTGACAAACACAGGGCAGAACAAAAAACGATGCCTTCTTACATGCCCCAAGGGTGAGCAACATTGAAAAATTCTCTGAAATATCAAAAATGCAAATTCTCTAAAATAGCAGTGATCTCTCAAGGCTAGGGCAGAGATCAGGTTTCCAGACCTAGTTTTGCATTTATTTATTTAGCCTCCAGGGGACAAATCCATCTCCATGCGAACGGAAAAGTAGCAGTGTGCAGGTCGGCTGGAAGACAGAAATTACTTACCTACCTTCTCCCCCACCCCAAATTGCTGACAGCCGATCTTAGTTGGGAGCACAAATTGTAATTTACCCACTTGGTTCTTGACTTTCAGAAACAGTACCAGAGAGGACATTTCGTAACCTGACAGGCAAGCCACATCCCAAGGTGTAGTTGCCCATCAAGATCCGTGCGACTGACAGTGCTTTCTTAATGCATCTCTCCTTCAAGTCATGGTGAGACAGACAGATTTGATGCTCAAACATTTTTGCATTTGATATGGTGCCAGGTGATAGCAGCTTGTCACTGGCAGCAAGCCTCCTGCCTGTCTGCTTCAAATCACCCTGAGCAAACTTGGACTCTGCAGACTTCCTTTTAAAAAAAGTGTGTGGGGGGGGGGAATTCAAGCCCTGGAACCAAATATGGTTCCCTTGAGATCTCTGTCTCTTGCCCCGAGAACTCTCCCAAGACCCTTTCTCACATCCCAGGTGTTTTCTCCTGCCTGGAAGGTGTCCCGGAATGCCAGTAATGTCTCTTGCTTGTCGGGATGGATGAGAGAGAGGAGGCTGTGAGTGTGCATGTCGAAACTAGCCTACTGTACCAAAGTAAAAGTTGCACATACGGCTCCACCCACTTCTGCAACTGGCCCCGCCCACCACTGGCTTATGGCTCCCAGAAGGCTCAAAACACTTTCCTTTTTTCAAATATATATATAATTTTTGTTAGATTTTCTGTTTTACCATTTCAAATACTCATTTAAACATCCTTATAACATCAATGACTTCCCTTCTTTTCTTTCCATGGTTCATTTTGCATACCCTAAATCCCTGCATATTTTACATAAACGAAACCATTCAGTATTCCATTATTACATCCTTATTTACACTGTTGAATTTATCGTTATGCTGCCAGCATTTTCAAGTGTACACAATTTCCCCCAAAAAATAAGCATTTCCCAATCTTCTTTAAACGTATCTTCTTCTTGTTCTCTGATTCTATATGTTAAGACTGCAAGGTGCGCATATTCCATCAGTTTAAGTTGCCATTCTTCTTTAGTTGAGACCTCGCTCGTTTTCCATTTTGGGGCTGCAGTAGTGGCATACATAAAGAACCTTTTCTGACACCTGGGAATTTCCACCTGAATTATCCCCAACAAAAAAGGACTCTATTTTTGGGGGAAGATACTCTTAAAATGCTTTCCTAACCCTGTTTTAATATGTATAATGGTGAGGACTTCTGGAGGCGGCGCCAGCGATTAGTGGCGGATTTCCTCCACCGGAGGAAATCTCACTGCGAATTAAGGGTCGGATCCCGCTTTCGGCGTAGCGGGGGACCCTCAAAAATCACAGGCGGGAGAAGCCTGTGAGCCTGGGACCCAGCAGGCACATTTGGCGCCCCCCCAACCCGGTAGGAAGCCCGGCAACGGGCTTTGAAGCGGAGCGGGGAGAGCGCTGTGCTGTGGGCTGTCTGCTCGTTCGTGGTGTGAAGCCGCAAGCTGTTGATCGGAGAGCGCTGCCTTTCTTCCTTAAAATCCGGACCTGAAAATCAACGATCCGTGAGTAGGATACAATTTAAATTGGAACTGTACAAAACTGGAATCTGGCCGAAAACGGAAAGAGGCTTAAAAAGGAAGTCAGCCTCTTTATTTGTAGATAAAATAAAGCATTGAACTTGAAAGCGGAAGCAATTGAAAAGTACGTTTTAGCGGACTTTAATCCAATCATCCAACCTGGACTTTTCCCTTTCTAAATTGAGGGAAAAGGGGGGAGAATTGTGGATGTGATTTCTTCATAAAGAGTGGAAAGAAGGGATCGAACCACCACTCAATTCCCTGGGAAAGGATCCCCAGATCTCAGGAAAGAAAGAGAGGTACTGTCTTGTAATATATTTTGACAGCTAGTCCTGCACAAGAAATAAAAGTTTGGACAATTTATGCGAATATATATCTCCTGGTCCTAAGTTAAAAATTGTGAATAGACTGTTTTCGTCCTGAATAAACTAGGGGGGCTTAAAAAAAAAATAAAAAATTAAAGTATCCAAGAACTTTTATGACTGTTACAGTGTCCCCCTAGTGGAACTTGGAACTGTTACAATTTGTTACAACTGAAACTGTAGCAGACTTGAGGAGTTGTCACACTGCTTGGCAGGAAATTTCCACTGTTCAATTTCAAATACGTGACTGACCTTGAGCATTATCTAAGGAATGGCAGATGGGAAAGAGAAGGCGGATGCTTCGACCACAAGATCGGGGAGGCCTCTTCGCACAGAAGAAGGATTACAAAGGAGATCTTCGGCCTCAGGCCCTTCTGGAACCTCAACAACAGCCTCATCGGCACAATTAAAGGTAAAAAGCACGACAAGTGAGGAAGCCTTTGCTCAAGTTTTGGCCAAAGTTAATGAATCTTTGAATAGAATAAGTCAACAAGTAGCAGAGGCTTCTGATAAGATTGATCAAAATACAATAAGTATTAACCAGAATACAGCAAGTATTAACCAGAATACAGCAAGTATTAACCAGAATACAGCAAGTATAAATCATTTGGGCCAAAAAGTAAATACTAACACAGAGACTATTCAGAAATTATTAGAGGAATCGGCCTCAATACGCCAGATTGCTGAAGAGGCTAAAGAAATTGCTACAACTTCTGCTACGGAAGTTAAAGAGGTTCAAGAGGAATTACCAACACTGCACAAACAATTGGAAGACCATAAACTAACCCTGTCTATGATAGATTTGAAGGAAAAGCAAGTGAATCTGCGGGTCAGATCGGTACCTGAGGTGGAAAAGGACAATCTAGCTGAATTTCTCACGCAGGAATTTTTGGACTTTTGGGATCCAGAATTGGTAAAAGACAGTTTCAGAATAGTAAATGCCTTCAGACTCGGGAGAAGAGGAGAGAAGAAGGTGAGAGACTGTCTGATTACTTTTCGAACAAAAGAAGAGAGGGATAAGATTTTGGGCCTACATTTCAAGAAGACACTGGAAATCCATCGGACAAGGGTGGAAATATTCAAAGATATTCGAAATATCTTCTGGATCTCAGATCAAAATATAAAGACTTGGTTACCCTGCTGAGAAGGAACAATATCAATTTCAGGTGGGAACTCCCTCAAGGCCTGTCTTTTAGCTATAAAGGAAAGAAGAGGAAAATAAGATCGGAAGACGACAAAGACAAATTTTGTAGAGACCACGGAGAAGACCTACAAAAAGAACTATCTCCGGAACCAAAAGACCTTTCGAAAGAAGGGATACCACCGACGGATGAGGAACAGGCACTAGGTGCAGTAGGAGGAGAACTAAAACAATAACATCATGGCCCTGCAACTTTTAACATGGAACTGTCGGGGTTTGATTCCCCTCAGAAGAGGAAGTCAGTATTTCATATATTAAAAAAGGAACAATTGGACCTAATTTGTTTACAAGAAACACACATAACAAGATTACACAGGAAATTGTTGATAAATAAAAGACTTGGTCAGGAATTTATTTCGTCAGATAAAGTTAAAAAGAGAGGGGTTGTGATTTACGCAAAAGACAATTTATCACCAAAATTTGTTTTTAAAGATGACCAAGGAAGATTTGTGGCAATTGAAATTCAAACACAAGGAGAAAAATGTTTGATTGTAGGAGTTTACGCACCAAATGATGGGAAATCTGATTTTTTTAAGAAGTTGCATGAGATCTTGATGGACCATATGGATTACAACATGATTTTGATGGGAGATATGAATGGAGTGGTATCTACTTATATGGACAAGGCACAAAGACAGGTAGTCACCAAAGATGGTAGACTACCGAAAACCTTTTTTGACATGACAGACAACTTGGACTTAGTGGATATTTGGAGAATTAGAAACCCCTTGGCAAAAGAGGGAACTTTCTTTTCTGAAGCCAAAATGACTTGGACAAGAATTGACCCAATTTGGATAACTAGAGGAATGGCACCAAAGACAAGAAAGGTGGAAATCTGCCCGAAAATTTGCTCCGACCATAATGCTGTTAAGATGGAAATGAGACTAACACCAACTGGCTCCTTCAGATGGAAGATGAACGACACCTTATTTAGAGATGAAGAATTTCTTAAGAAGGCCCCAAAAACTCTAAGAGATTACTTCGAGATAAATCTTAGTTCCAACGTGGAGAAAAGAGTAATCTGGGACGCAAGTAAAGCTGTTATGAGAGGGTTCTTAATACAACAGAATGCGATAAAGAAAAAAACTCAAAATGAAAAGAAGGATAAAATTATGAACAAAATGAATGAATGTGAAAAAAGACTGAGAGTAAATCCCAAATCTCAAGAGATTCTGAGAGAGTTAAAGTTATATCAAGTACAATATATGAAAATAATGAATCAGGAAATAGAATGGAAAATTAAACAAATGAGACAAAAGACTTTTGAATCGGCCAATAAATGTGGTAAATTGTTGGCATGGCAAATGAAAAAGAGACAAAAATTAAATACGATTACGAATTTAGAAGTGGAAGGAAGGAATATACAGAACCCTGCAGAGATTAGAAGTTGTTTCCAGAAGTATTTTAAAAGACTATATACTCAAGGGCCAGTGAAAGAAACAGATTTAGACCAATTTTTGAAAACAAATGGACTACAAAAATATCTCAAGAAAAGAGACTAATTTTGAATGACAGAATAACTGAACAGGAAATAGAAGGTGCCATTCAAAATATGCAACTGGGTAAATCTCCAGGACCAGACGGCTTGACCTCTAGATACTACAGATCTTTAAAAGAATGGTTAATTCAACCATTGAAAGAGGTCTGTAACGAAATTATGGAGGGGAAGAGGGCACCAGAGTCGTGGAAAGAAGCATATATTACACTTGTACCAAAAACAGAGACTGAAAAGACACAACTTAAGAACTACCGCCCTATATCATTACTTAATGTGGATTACAAAATTTTTGCAGATATTTTGGCGAAGAGATTCAAAAAGTGCTGTTGGAAGAGATTCATAAAGACCAAGCGGGCTTTCTCCCAGGAAGACATTTGTCTGATAATTTGAGGAATATAATTGATATCTTGGAAAAATTAGAAGTGAATATAAACACTAAAGCAGTGTTGATATTTGTAGACGCGGAGAAAGCCTTTGACAATATTTCTTGGAATTTTATGAAGAAGAATCTTCAGGGTATGGGGGTAGGCCAAGGTTTTGAGAATGGTATAAGTGCAATTTATTCAGAACAAAAGGCTAAACTAATTGTAAATAATGTTGTGACGGAAGAACTTAAAATTGAAAAAGGGACACGACAAGGTTGCCCAATTTCCCCACTTCTTTTTATTTCGGTCCTGGAGGTTCTGCTGAATATGATTAGAAGGGACCAGATGGTTAAAGGTATACAGGTCGGAATTAAACATTATAAATTGAGAGCATTTGCAGATGACTTAGTATTGACGTTACAGGAGACAGAATCTAGTACAAAAAGGGTTTTAGAACTGATTCAAGAATTTGGTCAAGTGGCAGGATTTAAATTGAACAAGTCAAAAACCAAGGTTCTAGAGAAAAATTTAACACCGTTTGAAAGAGAGAGGTTTCAGAATGAGACAGGTTTAACAGTGGTTAAGAAAGTTAAATACCTGGGGATTAACATGTCAGCAAATAATGGGAATTTATTTAAAGATAATTATGAAAAATGTTGGTCAGAAGTGAAAAAAGATTTAGAAATTTGGTCAAATTTGAAGCTTTCACTGCTGGGCCGTATTGCTGCGGTAAAAATGAATGTATTGCCTAGAATGTTGTTTTTGTTTCAAACTTTGCAGATCGTGGACAAAATGGATTGTTTCAAGAGGTGGCAGAAAGATATTTCTAAATTTGTCTGGCAGGGCAAGAAACCCAGAATAAAATTTAAAATACTAACGGATGCAAAGGAAAGAGGTGGATTTGCCCTGCCAGACCTTAAACTGTACTATGAATCAGCAGCCTTTTGCTGGTTGAAAGAATGGCTACTTCTTGAAAACACTGACATTTTGGATCTAGAAGGTTTTAATAATGTATTTGGATGGCATGCATATTTATGGTATGATAAGGTCAAAGCACATAAAGCATTTAAAAACCACATTGTCAGGAAAGCGCTATTATCCCCAACAAAAAAGGACTCTATTTTTGGGGGAAGATACTCTTAAAATGCTTTCCTAACCCTGTTTTAATATGTATAATGGTAACTGGGGCTGGATCTACATTGATCTTCTAAACATTATTAAAAATAACGTTCTATAACATTTGATGGCAGTTTCCTTTTGCTGGTGGCTTTCTGCTCTGCAGCACCCTCTGGTATCACATTTTAATAACACATTTTTAACGTTATAAACAACTACTGTAGATCTGCCATTGGTTAAAAAGGCAAAAGAAACCTCCTCTGATGGAGCAAAATACTGTACTGTTCAAGAAAAGCTCTTACACTAACATAGGAAGCTGAGTCAGATCATGTAGCCCATTACTGTCACCACTGGCTACCAATGACACTCCTTAAAATTTCAGGTATGGGTTCCTTCCAGATTCACCTGGTAACTGAACCTATGACTTCTGTATGTAAAGCAGCTGTAAAGCACTGACCTACAGCTCTCCCCACAAGAGTGAGGGGATCACACCTAGTAGTGATACCTCAGTCAAAAAAACAAAAACTTGTGCAACTCATTTGACCCAGGAAGGAAAAGCACTTTCACTCTTGATACGAAGTATCTATATCAATGACTAAGGAGGAAATCCTGAACCCACTTACCTGGGAACAAGCTAAGTGAACTGGATTCAGCTGAATCCTGAACTGATTTGGGCTGATTTGTATCCTGTATGGATTGGGTTGAAGCAGCTATAAATCACTACAAGACAGTTATTGTTGCAGTTATTAATCACACCGCCAAATCAGGTGAATGCCAGGGTGTGGGGAGAGGGAAGGCCAGAATGGCCTCACTCAACCCAACTCTCTCCAATCAATCCTTCTTCCCAGGGATCTCTGTGAGGGGGATAGGGGTCTCCTAACAACTCTCAGCACTCTTAACAAACTGTTGTTCAAAGGATTCTTGGGCGAAGCCAAGAGTGTTTAAAGTGGTATATACTGCTTTAAATGGACAATGCAGATGACATCCAATATTGCTTTATATGTATGGTACTGATTTAGCCTTAAACAGAAAGTCAGAGTCAACTTTTAAAAAAATGAACAAGATGGTAAAGAAATACATCTAAGAATGAAGGCTAAGTGTCTTTCCAATTTTCTGGAACAAAGTAATAACACGGTTCTAGGAATCTTAGCACTTACTGTATTTTTCGCTCTATAAGACGCACCAGACCACAAGACGCACCTAGTTTTTGGAGGAGGAAAACAAGAAAAAGAATATTCTGAATCTCAGAAGCCAGAACAACAAGAGGGATCGCTGTGCAGTGAAAGCAGCAATCCCTCTTGCTGTTCTGGCTTCTGTGATAGCTGCGCAGCCTGCATTCGCTCCATAAGATGCACACACATTTCCCCTTACTTTTTAGAAGGGAAAAAGTGAGTCTTATAGAGCAAAAAATACAGTAAATCTTTTGGTGCTCCATCTCCCATTGTCTACACAAGCCCAGATTTAACAACAAGTTGAATGAATGACTGAGGTATTTTACTCAATACAAATTGGTTTGGGGTTTTTTTGTGTTTGCCCGTATGTGGGGCAGACATGGAGGACTTTGTGAAATAAAAAATTATCAGTGCTGTCTTTGAAGTGCAAGATCAATTAGGAAGAGAGGAACACAGAAAGCTGCCTTTTCCAAAGTCAGACCATTGGTCCACCTAGCTCAGTACAGTCTTAAGCAATAGGCAGACCAAGCCTGTGCTGAGGGCAGCAGCAAGTCAGGAGTGCACACACAAAAATGAGATTTTTTTTTAAAAAAATTAGACATTGTGTGTGTGTGTGTGTACACACACAGTGGTACCTCTGGTTGCAAACAGGATCTGTTCCAGAGCTCCAGTTGCATCCCGAGGAATTCACAATGGAGGTGCTGCTTCTGCGCACGTGCACGGTGCGGTTTTGCGCTTCTGTGCATGCACATGTTGTGTAGAGTGCTTCTGCGCATGTGCGCATGGCGATACCCGGAAAAATACTTCCGGGTTTGTCGTGTACATATCCTGAAGGATACGTAACCAGAGGTGAATGCAATTAGAAGTACCACTGTATTTAAAATCATCAAAGTGATTGTGATGGGGAAAATCAGAACTTTGTTAGGTTTCCTTACAATTCTCTAACACAGACTGAAAGATAAAAATTTGAAGAATAAAATTCAGTTTTGGGTTCAGCATTATTTTTGTTATGGTGAGCACCATAACCTTTTCAGCGCTTAGGGTCTCTAAAGGTCTCATTCTAACCGTATGTGCACTGGATGCGAGGGGCTCTCGCGGGTTCCAGGCAGGAAAGGGTCTCTGCTCTCACCTTCTGCATGCAAAGCAGTTGCTCTATCACTGAGCTACAGCCTATGTAGTGAATCAAGATCACTGAACTGAACATGAGAGCATAGAAAATGTAAGAGGCACAAAAAATGGAGACGATTTCATTCCCCACCCGCCTTTCTAATTACCATCTTCTAACCTGAGATTGCGTTGCTTAAAAGAGGCCAAGACAACCTGCCAGCTGAATTTTTGCGCCTGGTGTCCTCCAGATTCTGGCAGTCACCTTCATTACTGGCGAAAATGGAACGGCAAAGCTAGCATGAAAAATGAGGCAGAACCCCCATCACTATGGTCTCCTGCAAGGAGACAAAGGGAGAGGAAACTCACATGCGTAAAAATTGACACATGGCACAGCCTCCTTTAAGCTGCACAGTGGCAAGTTACTGGAGGTAGCAAGGGAGCCGCTCTTTGCAAAAAGAGAAAAGTGCTTTCAAGGAAGCTGTGTGTTTATTTATGATAAACAGAACACATGCATCACTTTTGATGAAACAATGCAAGGGAAAACCATGAGATAGGACGAGGCGAAGCAACTCAACAGCATCCTTTTTGCAATACAATCAGGCATGCAAAGGACATGTTATTTCCATTATTTGGGGTGTGCATGAACCCCAAGTCGGTGTGTATTTGTGCTTGGCCAATGCAAGGTGAGATCTTTACAAGACTCACCCAATCAAGTCTCTCCAAAAGGCTTGGTTCAGCTGTGTTTACATGGTTGCTGCAAAACAGAAGAAAAAGCAGACTTTCCCTTTGGCAAAACATGAAACCAAATTTACTGTATGGAAAACAGCCTTGGTCAGAGAGCAGGGAAAGTGAGCAGGATAGCTGGTTGTGATTGACAGGTCAGAGTCAATTTCTGATCACAGTTCTTTGTGGCAGAGATGTTGGAAATAAAGATGTTTGTCTTATGCGCTCGTTGGTCTTTTGCAGGTTCTGCCTATTTCCTAAGAAGGACACTTACAAGAGTTCTGCAGGATTAGGATTGGGCAGTGTCCCTAACAGGGCTTTTCTTCAGCCAGAACTCACTGCAACTCAGTTCTGGCACCTCTCAGGTGGGCGCCATTGCCATTATAAGAGAACAAAGGAGGCGTTCGTGGTGAGTTCTGCACCTCTTTTTCTAGAAAAATAGCACTGGTCCCTACTCTTCCTGTCACAAACAATTAGGCTGGATCTAGACACATCAAAGAAGCGCTTCAGTTTAAAGCGTTGTAAATTTAAACAGGGAAAACAGGTAGAGAAAAATGGGACTCCACATCGCCATCTGGTGGCACAATGTTATATCGCACATGCAACACATATAAATTGCTTTTCCTTTCCCAGTCTAGCCGAGTCCTCAGAGAGTCTTTTAAAAATGAGATTGAATGACATCATTTCCTTGGCTTGGGAATCCTTCAGAGTCATCAAGTTCTGTATGTCTGAACTGTGATTAACTGGACACTCGCCTGGTTGTCACACTGGAAAACACAACTTAAATCACTCCAAAAGAAGATATTGGAGCACTTCCAATCAATTTGCCCGTGCGTGTGCACAGAAAATAGTAGATCTACAGTGGTACCTCGGGTTAAGTACTTAATTCGTTCCGGAAGTCTGTTCTTAATCTGAAACTGTTCTTAACCTGAAACACCACTTTAGCTAATGGGGCCTCCCGCTGCTGCCGCGCCGCGGCCGCACCGTGGCCGCGCGATTTTTGTTCTCATCCTGAAGCAAAGTTCTTAACCTGAGGTACTATTTCTGGGTTAGTGGAGTCTGTAACCTGAAGCATATGTAACCTGATGTACCACTGTATATGAAAGCAACACATGAAGATCTGCCTTGATCACTGCAATGAATATCTTCTTCTTCTTCTTCTTTTCTTCTTCTTATTATTATATAAGGTTATTTTATAATCTTCAAAGGGGACATGGCTATGAGGGGGAGTGACTGTGATTATTACAAAGGGACACCAAACTTCTGAATTTGCCACTACATTACTGGCCAGAAATGTAGTGTATATATGGAAAGCTAGATTTCTGAGGCTATGTCTTCTAGCAGTAGTGGATGAGATGGTGTAATTCTGGTGGAGGGACAATTGTGGCACATCAGGGTGTTGATAGAGAAGGGGGAATATACATATATGTCTAAGTAGAAACCTGGCACAGCAGGGAGAGAACTGGGTTACAGTCTTTGTCCCTGATATCCGAGATTTCTACTTGCAGGGAGTTCTTCTACATGAGCATTCAAAGACAGGATTTCCTACCCGCAGTCCATTCTGCCAATGCACTCTGTTTCCTGCATACAGACAATGAATAAGAAAGTTTATAGGACAAATATATATGTGAGTCATTATTTTTATTTTTAAAAAAATCTTTGTTGATGGGGATACAATTGATTGATTTTTATTTTATTTTTTTACATTAAAGGTTTTTGATGAAGGACATTAGAATGTTTCCTAGGAAGCATGGAGAAGTTTTATGGCTTTAATTTCCCCCCTTCAAAAGATGCTTCTAATTTTTATGAGAATAAAACTGAAATATTGCAACATTATTAAGATTGTCTATGAAGGAATAGTTAGCAGCGGTTGTGTCTTTGAATGTGCATACCAATGAGGCAGTTCAAATCAAGGGCATGTGACGTTAATGCTAATGAAGGGAACCACTCATGTTCAATTTTATTACCGTCTTCTGCAATTAGAATTTTTTGAATTATAAGCCCCAGTGCCTATGAAGAGATCTCTGCAGTTCCCTTAACGCTGGGCTCTCACACCACCCAGCTGCATCTGTTTACTAAGTACAATGCCTGGTCGATTGCAGATCTATTGATACCGACTTATGTGCTAAAGTAGCAGTGCTAGCTGGTTGTAGTATAATAAACACTGGTCAATTATGTTATCCCCTCCCACTCCCAATGCTAATATTCAACTTAGCTGCCTCTACATTAAAACACATGGGAATATTGGAACCCTTAGACCAGATATGGAGAGTCTTTGGACACCCAGATGTTCCTGAATCACAACTACCATCATCCCTGGCCATTGGGCCAAAGGTACTGTATCCTGTGGGAAGGGTACTCACTGTGAGAGGAAACCTTTGCAGCAGGAGTCAGGAAAGGTTCAATAGCAGCATTTATCTGTGAAGAACAGGTTAACAGGAACAGCAACTTACAGCTAGGGCTTGCTCCACATGCCAGATGTCAGGGACTGGTTGGCCAGATGTCAGGGACTGGTTGGAAGGAACCAGCTGGGGAACCACCAAAAGAAGAAGGCTCAGAGTCCAAGGAGTGGTGGTGGGACAACAGTGAGTGGTCAGAGAGAGGAGAGGGGGAAGACTAGGAAGTGGAAGCGTTAGAAGCAGAAGAAGTAACAGGGCTTAGTGAGCAGGGTGAGTCTGTGATAGAGAGTAGTCCAGGCACAGAGGCAGAAGCAGAAGAGGAGGGAGGCAAAGAGACAGTGATGGATCAGGTTTGAGAAGTGGCATGGGTGTGTACCCCTCCTGCTGTGACCAGCTCCCTTTCCTCCTTGGTCTCTCAGAACCAGGAGAGGCATGAAACTGCTTTAAGTGCAGATAAAAAGGTACCAGTAAAGGACCCCTGAACAGTTAAGTCCCATCAAAGGTGACTACAGGGTTGCAGCACTCATCTCGTTTTCAGGCCGAGAAGGCCGGCATTTGTCCACAGACAGCTTTCCGGGTCATGTGGCCAGCAGGACTAAACCGCTTCTGGCGCAGTGGAATGCTGTGACGGAAACCAGAGCGCATGGAAACACCATTTAACTTCCCGCCACAGTGGTACCTATTTATCTACTTGCACTGGCGTGCTTGCACTGCTAGGTTGGCAGGAGCTGGGACAGAGCAAAGGAAGCTCACTCTGTCGTGGGGATTCGAACCGCCAGCCTTCTGATCAGCAAGCCTCAGCACTACCATGAGGCCTCATGCACACATTTAACGTCACATCTAGCTTGACTCTTAGATCCATGCCACTTTGTAATGCCAGCTTCCATTACTGACTTGGAGGTAGCTCATGGTCTCCTTGATAAGGCAATCTGATATCAGCTAAAATTGTAGTTCAGACAAACCGTTCTGAGCTGGTCCAGTCAGGTCATATTCTAAAAGGTAGAAGAAAACACAGAACTCACACATATATGCCGGGTTTAGCATTTCAAAATCTTCCTTGCTTTCATAAAAAAATGGGTGGCATTAGGAAATAAGTCAGGCATGATCAAAGCACTGTTCTGCTCACAATTACTGGCGGAGGAAGAGGGGGCGGGGGGAGCATATTGCCCTTGGCAGCGCGATCCTGGTGGGGTGCCATCGTGGCTGTCCCCCCGCCTGCGCTGGGACCATGCCCCCGCAGGTGGCGTGCCACGCCCCCAGGATGCACGTCACGCCCCCAGGACGTGCGTCATGCCCCCGGGGCGCACGCCAGCCACGTCCCTGCCTGCTCTCCACCCCCCGGTGCTGGAGCATGAAGCTCCACCACTGCTCACAATTTGTGTTACAGTGCTGTGGCATAAATAAAAGAGTAATTTGTCGCAAGCCACATGGCTATAAACCCTGAATGGATTTTACGTTTAGCAAAGTCATGGGAGGTCTGTGTAAACAGTAATAAGTCCCATCAGAGCTTATATACGTCGAGGGTCATTGTGTTTTCTGTGTACCAGCCGTATTCATTATGACTATCATTATGATGTAATATTTCCATTAATCCTTTCGACTAATTGTGTTGTTAATCCATTCTCAGCCTCCAACGTTTCTAGATGGAAGAAAACAAATGCTCCAGCCGGTGTTTGATAAAGATACACATCAGGAATACAACTGCATTCTGTTGTAATTGGGTATTGGATCATAATTAACCCCAAGGACCAAAATGCATTAATAATGGGTATATGTGACCCCTGTAAGACAAAGTATCAGATAGTGGGCTGTATCCAGCTAAGAGTATCCTACTCAGAGTAGGCTCAACTGAAATTGAGCTAAGTTAGTCACAGCCATACATTTCGGTAGGTCTTCTTTGAGTATAGCTCCATCTTCACGGTACATTTATAGACCCTACAAGTGTCCCTACTTTCCAGGGACAGTCCCGGATTTAGGGAAGCTGTCCCAGTTTCTGATTTGACCCCCGAATGCCCCGCATTTCCTTAGGATGTCCCTATTTTCATTAGAGAAATTTTGGAGGGTATGGTGTTAGGTGACTCCTGAACCACGAAGATATGTAACAACACAACCTTTAGAAGACATCTGCATAGGGAAGTTGTTTAATGTTTTATTAGGTTTTTATAGATGTTGGAAGCCACTCAGAGTGGCTGGGTCAACCCAGTCAGATGGGCGGGGTAGAAATAAAATTGTTGTTGAATAGGACGTCCCTATTTTCATCAGAGAAATGTCAGAGGGTATGTATTTAAAGCAGTATCATGCCACTTTAAATAGTTATGGCTTTCCCTAAATAATCCTGAGAATTGTACAGTGGTACCTCAGGTTAAGTACTTAATTCGTTCCAGAGGTCTGTACTTAACCTGAAACTGTTCTTAACCTGAAGCACCACTTTAGCTAATGGGGCCTCCTGCTGCTGCCGCGCCACCAGAGCCTGATTTCTGTTCTCATCCTGAAGCAAAGTTCTTAACTTGAAGCACTATTTCCTGGTTAGCGGAGTCTGTAACCTGAAGCGTATGTAACCTGAAGCGTATGTAACCTGAAGCGTATGTAACCTGAGGTACCACTGTAGTTTGTTAAGGGTGCTTTATGCACTGGACAAAAGTTGCTGTTTAATACATGTCGGTGACAAAGGATTAGGAACAGTAGAAGAACCTTCTAGATTAGGCTGGTGGCCCATCTAGTCCAGCATCCTGTTTCCACATTGGCCACACAGTTGCCTGAGGGAACACTGAAAGCAGGATCCGAGCACAAGATGGAAGTACAGTTTCTAGCAACTGGAAGCTACATGGAGTTTTTACTTCCCTTCACCCTTCCCCTCAAAAGGCAGCAACCCCAACTAAGGCTTTGGCCAAAATTCCAAGAACTTTTCTTTCCTGAGGGGAGTGGGCAGTAGGCAGACACCTGCATTGATTTTTAATGGACAGCCAATCGTTTGCCAGCATTCCTGTGGAAAAGATGAAGCGCCTTCATTTAAAAAGGGGGGGAGGTAATAAAGACCCACCTGGCTTAGCCCCCAAAACAACATTCATAGCTATTCACA